AAGGAAATACTTTTTGCAAATTAATCTAACCTCACCACAGCTTCACTGACTTGATGTGTTGTTAAACACTTGGGTCCACTCATTACAGAGCACCAAATAAATAAGATAGCGAGACTTAGTGACCTATACATCACCAATGAAGAAGTAAATTAGATGGGACGCCTGGGTGGCTCAGTGGGTTACGGCCTCTGCCTTCAGCTCTGGTCATGATTCCAGGGTCCTAAGATCAAGCCCTGCATCAAGGCCCGCATGGGGGGGGGGGAGGTGGTCCCTGCTCAGCGGGGAGTCTGCTCCTCCCTCTCCCCTTCCCCCTACCCCTTCCTCTGCTCACACTCAGATAAAGAAATAAAATCTTTAAAAAAACAATTTTCTGTCAAATAAGAGTTTCGATGAAATTTTTAAAATTTCTCTTCCTTTTGATCTACCAGCTGTTGGGCGCTACCAGAGATCTCCTTAAGGTCCCTAATCTGGTCTCCTGACTTTGTAGTTTTGGTCTGGAAGCAAGAGGACTGGAGGCTGGACCCAGTCTCTGTGGAAGCATTTCTATTTCGCACTGGCTTCAGGGAAGTTTGGAAAATTAAACTGGTGAGACTTTTCAACCCCACGTCAGCTACCTGTGCTTTAGACGAGAGCAGTCTTACTTGTGTTGAGCAGAGAGGGTGACCTGGCTGCTTGTGAATATGTTCGTTCTTACCTCTCGAACTCACTTTGATCCAAGGGAGAGAATTGGCTTTGCAGGTTGGCAAGGGTACCCCGGACTTCGCAACTGATCTGATCACACCAGGTGCACAAAAAGTCTTTCTCTTGGGGCGCCTGGGTGGCTCAGTGGGTTAAGCCGCTGCCTTCGGCTCAGGTCATGATCTCAGGGTCCTGGGATCGAGCCCCGCATTGGGCTCTGTGCTCAGCAGGGAGCCTGCTTCCTCCTCTCTCTCTACCTGCCTCTCTGCCTGCTTGTGATCTCTCTCTGTCAAATAAATAAATAAAATCTTTAAAAAAAAAAAAAAAAGTCTTTCTCTTAATAAATCTGTTTCCATTGTGGTGTTCTCTTTAAACTGAAACTTGGTTCTCCTTCGTAGCAATTTTCTAAAGGCTCAAAGAAATGACCAACTGCCTTCTGATGACGTTACTCTATACATTAATTTTTTTTTAACAGCAGCACCTGGCACTTGGGGCCAGAGATGACTTTGTCATGGGGGACCGTGACAACAAAAAATGTCTCTAAATATTGCCAAATGTCCTCTGTGAGAAGAGGGAGCAAAATCCCCTCCAGCTGAGAACGAATGACCTATACAGATATCTTCATTCATTCCTTGGAAGAGCAAGACAAGGTGGAGAATTAGAAGCAGAAGATACAGTTGTAGTTGGGATCTAAGTTAGAGATTGATGGGAGATAGAGTAAAGCCATTGATTAAAAAAAAAAAAAAACAATAATACAATTTCGGATATTCACCTAAGGAATTTGGATTTTGTTTTTTGGCAACAGAATATCATTAGAGGATTTTTAGAAAGAGAGTGGTGTCAGGGCACCTGTGTGGCTCAGTCGTTCATCATCTACCTTTGGCCCAGGTTATGATCCCAGGGTCCTGGGATGGAGCCCGGCATCTGGTTCCCTGCTCAGAGGAGGCTTGCTTCTCCCTCTCCCACTCCGCTTGCTCGTGTTCCCCTTCTCCCCTTGTCTCTGTCAAATAAATAAAATCTTTAAAAAAAAAAAAAAAGTCTTCAGAAAGAGAGTGATATCATCGGATTTTCACATAAAGAACATTCTCTTGATCTTGGGGTGAGAGATTGAAAAGACAATCACTATCACAAAACTCTGAGACAGTAACCATGTGAAATCAAGCCTCGGAGATGGAAAGGAAGTGACAGCCCCGCCTGACATCGAGGCTCTAAGGACACGTCATGCCCACCTCTTCCGTGTGCTTTGAGCTGGTCTTCGGTTTCCGTATCCACATCACCGTGTGCGGCTTCCCTAGCAGGTTAATTACCTTTTCACAGTATTTTCACTTTGTACATCTTGAGTGTGTTTGGTTTTTAGTCTTATTTACCACAGGTTCTAGCACACCCCACGCCCTTCTGTGCCTGTTTCCTCTTCACAAGGGTTTACACGTTCAAAGGAATCTGCTCGGCCAGCCCCAGGGCAGACCTGGCAGGGGAGTTTAGCCTCATGGGCAGGAGTATCTTTTAAGTCTCCCAGAAACATAATAGAACAAATTTGGGGTCTGGTGGTTAGATGCCACACATTCAAAATTAATATTTTCTCAAAGAGAAGATGGCAGAGTCAAGAGCCTAGGTCCTCCTCTCCACAGCGTGCTCCTGATGGGCAGGAAACTCGTCCAAAAGGAAATCTAGAGCGTAGGGCGCTACCTGAGACGCTCGTTGATCACGTTATGGACTAATTTACCCGTCGGCATCTTCTCTCACACCACTTCTCTCTCATTTCTTTTTATATTATCAACAGAACAAAGGTTTTGTTTGTTATATACTTGGAAAAAAATTGTTCCTTTTGAAGCTTCATTACTTTAAAAATTTCAGGACAAGAGATCCAAACAGGAAGAAAAAATTACACCATTTTTTTTTGTTATTTATTTTCATGAACATTTAAATTGAAAGCTCACCAGATATCCAATACAGAAAAGAAAGAGGATCCGAAGAAATAACACAAATCTCCAACAACTAAAAGTTTGATCAGGGGTGCCTGGGTGGCTCAGTCAGTTAAGTGTCTGCCTTGGGCTCAGGTCAGGATCCCAGGGTCCTGGGATCGAGCCCTGTGTCAAGCTCCCTGATCAGTGGGGAGCCTGCTTCTCCCTCTCCCTCAGCCCCCCAACACCTGCTCATGCTCTCTCTCACTCTGACTCTCTCTCTGAAATAAATATTTTTTCAAAAATAAATAAAAGTTTAATTAAATAATTTACAATAAATCCATAAAACGGAACACTGGGCAGTAGGCGAGGAGATTACATGGACCTAATTTGGTCGGCAAGGCAATGTGTTTCCAACGCAGGGTCCAAAGTAGTGTATGACGTTGGGACTACCAGCAAATGGTCAAGAAAGATTTCTTGAGAAGTTTCTGGTGCAAAAAGTGGTGTTATTATAGCACAGAGACAGGCCCCGTTGGCAGGAAGAGGTATACTTCTGCTGTGTGAAGCTGGTGGTTACATGCTTCATGCTCAAGGGCGAGAGGACATGCAGGGAGTATTAGATCATAGATGTCTTCTTCGAGTTTCTACTCCTGAAACTACTTCTGCAAGATTTCTCTGGAGCTTATTGTTCAGCTGGGTGGGAACTATTGGTGGGACGTACCAGCCGTCATGAGACCCTTTAAGAATGTAGCAGTCAGCACATATTTGATCCTTATCAGAACGATGCAGGCTGCAGGTCAGCCTTCTGGGCCAAAGATGAACATCTTTCTGCTTCTGTCCCTCGTCGGTGTATGTAATACTCACCCACTGACGGAAAATTATAGACGTTTCTCTGCTTCATCTCCTCCATCTGCTCTACTTCCTCTCCCTTAACCCCTTTACTGTTATTCCCTAGTTAATATTTGATGTCCCCGCCAGTCCATAAGCTTCAGGAGAGCAGAACCCCAACTTTGAGCCGTGGCACCGAGGCCGGTGTCTGGCTCATGACACGTGGCCAGCAGAGAGCTACCCCGTCAGTGGGTAACGAGTGCCTTGGCCTAAGGAACTGAGCTCGTTCTCCATGACCCCTGCTTCCTTTCCAAACTGCCGAAGAACTGTCCTTCCATCCTAGAATTTTGCCTGGGATCATCATCAGGCCTGTGGGATTTGCCACTTTCTGGTTTGTGACTCTTTGCTTCCTTTCTCGTTTTGGTCCTCGGTTTGCACAGTCTTCCCCCGTTAGAGCGTTAGCCCTTCGAAGCCGGGGACTGGGTTCTGTTTTGCTCTTCCAGCAATGCCCAGGAAAACGTTCTGTTCAACGTGAGGCCTTTTGAGACACTGAACGACTGGACAAGTATAACCTCCTCAGAGAACGAATTAAGAACTGGAGTCACTGTAAGTTTATCACAACCGTCACCTCTCCCTTCCATGGGCCAGGCACTGTGGTAGGAGCTGAAGGTCAATTACTTCTTTTATTCAGCACAACAATCCTCTGCGGGAAATACCCATTTTACAGATGAGGAACCTTCACGTCTCAGGGACTCGTCTCAGGGACTCACTCTTGGTCACCCACAGGGGAAGATAAGGCATCAGAATTGGAACCAGTGTTTCCAACTCCTAGATCCATGCTCTGACTCACCCGTGGCCACCCCCTCCCCTTCCCTCTAGACAGAGTTCTTCTCTCAAGAAGCAAACCAGGCACAGGTGTATCACGTCCATCCTATGGGCCATATGATGAATCAGAAGGAGCCCCAGAAGGACAACTCCCTCCGTTACTCTCCCAAACTATTCCTATTCATGTAGACCGTGACCATGACAGCTACTCGACAACATAGCTTTCTGATGCTGCTGCCCTTGGTTCCTCCACAAAAGCAACCAGAAGAAAAAGTTGTAAACTCTGATCCGAGGCCTATGGACAGCGTCTTCAAACCACCCGGTCAGGAAGCCTTTGGATAACGTCTTCCCCATCCTGTTTGGCTTCTTTTTTTTTTTTTTTTTTTTTCAAGTAAACCACACAGAGGGAAACACTATTGAGTACTTCCTAGAGAGATTCTTTCTCTCATAGAGGGAGACCCATAGGGCAAGTAAAGAGAAGACGCTAAGGAGAGAAGATTTGATGGGATTTAAAGGATAGTGAGGGCGCGGTTGTCCACAATCTGACCCTCAGGACAGAGGAATGATGTTTGACTGTCCTGACAAGAAGCTTCTGGTTGACAAATGCTGTCTGGAATTTCCTCGCTGATTTCTTACCCTCACACCGCAGGCCCTGATCCCTGTGGTCCATTATGCAAATGCAAATTACCTGAATCAGGCTGCGTGACTCACCCAGTCCCCTTTAAAGCAACGTGGGCTTCGAGGCCACAACTGCTCAGGGTGGGAACCATGGCTCACAGGCTCCGCTTCTCCTACTGGCTGTTGCTCTGCTGGGCGGCGCTAACTGTGGCGGCAGGTAAGGGTTTTGTGTTTATTCTCCTGTGGGTCCCTAATTAATAAGTTCTGTGAAAAGACAAGATTTGGTTCCATGACTATAGATATCCATCAATTGCAAGAGATTTTGTCAGCTTCCACCAGCTTGTGTGCATAAAGGAGAAAGAAGCTAAAATTTATCATCTGAAGACCTTGGTCCTACTCTCAGCCCTCTAACTGCATGATGTTAGACGTACTTAACCTTTCTGGTACCAGTGACAGAAGTGGTAGTGACAGAAAGTGACAGAAAGAGTAGTGATGATGGGGTTTGTGAGGACCGAATGAGCTATTGTGCGAGAAAAGCTCTTCCAACTTCTAAAACTGTACCAGTCATTACTGTCGTAGAGCTAACAATTTCCACCCTTACAGCAATGTCCACCTCTCACTATCCCCAACAGCACAGTAATTTTGAGGCTGTTTAGTCTCTCTTTGTTAATAGATTTAATTAATCGCAACTAGTTATTTCATAGTTCACCTTAGTTCCAGAACCAGATACTGTTCAGGGAGACGAGACCCAGGATCAAACCAAGTCCCTGCGGGCTCTGCAGGGGCTTGGCCAAACCCTACTCATCCCCCAACACATTCTTTGCTCCCCTCCCAAGGCTCACATAGAGTGGAGAGGGACAGAGACCTCACGGCTGGGGATGACCACCAGAGGTCACCTTGCCCAACCTCTGCCCGAACTCTCGATCAGAGGGGGAGGAGATGTTACAAATAACACCAGCCCCGTTCCCAAGACCAGACTCCCAAACCTCACCTGTGGAAGGTGATGTCTAAAAGAGGCATTGTAGGGGCACCTGGGTGGCTCAGTTGTTAAGCGCCTGCCTTTGGCTCAGGTCATGATCCCAGGATCCTTGGATCGAGTCCTGCATCGGGCTCCCTGCTCAGTGGGGAGCCTGCTTCTCCCTCTCCCAGTCCTCCTGCTTGTGTTCCCTCTTTCTCTGTGTGTCTCTCTGTCAAATAAATAAATAAATAAAAATCTTTTAAAAATAATATAGATAGATAGATAGAAAAATCAGGCATTGTAAAACAGAACTAGCCACCAGACATCTTTCCAGAAAGTGAAGCCTCTTCAGGGGGAACCATTGTAAATATGCAACTGAACGAGTTATAATGAGATTGCAGGTTTATTCACATCTAAAAACCACTAATTAAATGGTCAGATTTGACTTCTGGATTCGGCTCACGCTTCGCCACCGTCCCTCAGACGGCTCGGAAATCCTTCCAGTGCAGCTTTGCTCTGTCCGGGCAGCCTGGGCTCCAGCTGGTGGCTCGAGGACCCAGGCTGGGGCTCGGCCCGTTTGGCCCCAAGTGGGTGTCAGGACTCGCCCTGGCCTCTCCCTCTTGCGCGGCTGCTCCCTCTTCCTGCTCTCACCTCCTCACTGCAGCTCTAACATTCACAACAGCATTGCCCCCACAAAGGCTTTCTTAAGACACAGCTGGAAACTGCAGGCTCTCTCTGTCGCTGACGTCTGTGAATCGTGCGTCAGCCGTGGCTCGGGCCGCATTCCGCTGGGCCTCCCAGAGCCGTGTCTTTGCAGCACCTGCCCTCCTCTCCAGGGCCGGGCCTGTGTCTTTACCATCCCCGAGCTTGCCACAGCACCCGGCACAGCAGCCTGCGCGCAGGGGAAGGGGCTAGATGGGAGCACGGAATGGAAACAGGCCTTGGTGACATTTGCTGGCCTCCAAGCTCTTTCTCTGTAAAATTAGGGATTTGCCAAAATAGCCGGTCATGCTGGGGTCTGCAAAATAAACTCAGTTGTCCGTTACTGTGCGAGAACTCATCACAGGACCCGTGTTCCTTTCTGGCTCACCTCCGGAAGCGCCCACGATTCCATGAGCCGCGTAAAGGAAGAACGGCGCACTTGAACCCCGTGCATAAAGCTTACCTCTCTTAAAAATCAGTACTGCTCATCACAAACCGGCTGTTGTCTGCCCAGATAACCACAGACTGCAGGTAATTGGTGTTTGTTTTTTGTTTTAAAGAAAAGGAACTTCTCATCCCTTAAAAAAAAAAAAGTCATAGTTGTTGGTATGCTATGCATTTCATGTCTAGACTAAAATAAATCCACTTAAAGTTGATATCCAAACTTCAGGCAATATTTTGGCTTGATGTTTTATTATGCTCTAAATTCAAATGTAAGTTATTATTGAACATTTTCTGGGACTGGAATTAAATACTCACTGAGCTTCACAAAAACCTACAGAGAGCTTTCAGCAACTGCCCGCCTTTCATCCAACTTCTTGACTATGTCCTGGGTGGCTCAGTGGGTTCAGCCTCTGCCTTTGGCTCAGATCATGATCTCAGGGTCCTGGGATCGAGCCCCACATCGGGCTCTCTGCTCAGCAGGGAGCCTGCTTCCCCCCACCCACCTGCCTCTCTGTCTGCTTGTGATCTCTGTCTGTCAAATAAATAAATAAATAAATCTGTAAAGTATGATCACATGGGCCCAAGAAAATGGGGCTTGTGTTGATAGAATCTTTCCATAATGTTCAAGATGAATAATAACAGTAGAAAACACCTAGTAAATGCATACTGTGGGTCAGACATGTTCTGAGCTCTTTACATATCTTATTTCAGATAATACAACAAGGCAGTGAGTATTCTCTCCTTTTTAGAAATGAAGAAAAGAGACTTAGAAAAGTTAAGGAACCTGTCAATGGTCAAGGTTCCTAAATGGGAGAATGCCGGGAGCCTGGTTCTAGAGTCTGTGCTTTTACACGCTATGGTCTTCTGCTCAAAGCGTTTTCAATCTGCTTTGAAATATTTGGCCTACTTTGGTCTGATTAAGGTCGCAGAAGGACTCTCATATGTGACCTTCAGTGCCTTTGGTGGCATGTCAGTATGTTACATATGAAAAAACATTTATTTATAATGATCACATTATCCCTGAGAGGTGGAAAGATGGTGACTTTTGCAATTACAGAACAGAGATTTCTCTCAATCGGTTCCATTCCACTGCAGGCCCTGAGCGAGGGGTGAGGAGACACTGGTCTACAGGATGGCCATGTGGGTATTTCAGTGGACGAAGAATATAACCACTGAATAGTCAAAACCTGGCTGATGAATATTCCAAAAGTGGACTCCCAGGGTGCTGTGGAAATATACTGCCAAGGGCCTTAAGCCAGCCTCAGGGTAGGAAAGGCCTCCCCGAGGGAATGAGGCATGAACTCTGCTTAAGAGTGAGCCAGGGAAAAAGGACAGGAAATGGTGCCTAGACCTCTGGAACCAACGTGGTAAAAGCTTGGGACCATTGATGCTTTTGCCAAAATAGCTTTTGTGGAGTAGAAAAAACACAGTCATATTTTAGTAGATTAAATATGAGGGGAGGGGTGGGAATTGAGCTGGAACTATGTAGACTTCTCTCTGAAGTGAGATAAATAGGAACCAAAGAAGTTCATGGCAGATCACTGACGTTTCCTTTCTGAAACACGAAGCGAGGTAGTCTACTTAGAAAGACAGAGAGACTTTTGAAGAGAATTCTTCAAAGGAATGAAGAAGAATGAGAATTTTGAAGAGGCTTTGAGAAGAATGTCAAAGGTTTAGAAGACAGCAGGAATGGAGCTGAACAAGGAGAAACAAAAGAATGGATGAGCAGTGTCAACTCAGCCAGAGCTGGAGACCATGAATGGCATCAACCTCCTCACTCAGATGTGTGGCCTTACCCTGGGACAGTTTCCCAAATCAATCCCTGTGGTTCCCACATTTCAGAACACTTGTGCTGGCCAACCAGTGACCTGAAATAGTCATCATGTATCTAGTTTGCCAGAAGAATGTAGTTTTATGTGGTCCTGCCTCATTCTTGGGTTGGTGACTGGGACAAGCTTGTATCTTGATCTGGAAACCTTGGAAATACCCAGAAAAGAGCCCTGAACACTGCTGGATCTCCCAGAATTAGAGAAAAGCTGCCTAGCTGGCTGTAATACCCCACAGTCAGCAGGAGGATTTTGTGAGTAGTCTCCGATTTAAGAAATGAGATGAGCACAAGAGGCGAGTGGTTGGTTTGTTTTTAACAGCTGGAATACAAGTATACTGAGTAGCAGAGCTTGGGCTTGGCTAAGTCTGATCTGATAACAAAAATGTCAAGATGGAACTTAAGAACAAAGCTAGCTTCTCCGCTAGGGACTGGATTCTCATCTTACAGAAAGTTTTCATGTTACAAAGGTTCAGAACTGTTCTAACTGTGTAGGAGAAAAGAATGAGTGATGTGGGATTTAATCATCTTCTGTGGTTTGAAACAACTTAATCTAGTTTTAGTCACAGGATTTCAATACTCAGTAGCCTGGGTGGGTATGCAAGAAAGGGTCAGTATTTCATTCAAGGAATAGACGCCCATTCAAATTAGCTTAAGAAAAGAGTAGAGCTGGAGGTGGAGTGATTGCTATGGCCATGAACCTTGAGCACAGCCAGGCTTCAGAACGATCAGCCCTGGAAAGTCAAGAACTAAGGCCACTCTCATCACCAAACTGTTACCATGTAGTCTCTTCTCTCTCTTTTTTTGGGTCTTCCCATGCTATAGCTTCTGTGGAAAGACTGGCTTCCCTACTTCCCTACTTCCAACTGGCCAAAACCTAACACTCCCATCCTTGCCCTACACTTTCTACTACCATCTTCCACCAACTGAGTCTCTTTGTTGAAATTCTCAAATGAGAAACTGATTGGTCATTGGTCAGCCAATGAATGAACTGAGTGTCTCTCAGCCAAGGATGTATAGGGGTTCCCGGGGGTTGTGGGTAAAACAGAATCTCCAGAAGGAGTTATGAACACGGGCAGGCGATAGGCATATCCTGTCCGACTAAGAAATCTGATCTAGGTTGTTCTAAAGGTAAGGGGAATCCAGCTCTTTGTCAGCACTCAGCACTTCCAGCCTCCTGTGGGGACTTTGTTTTTCCATTATGCACACTCAGCCCATTCCAGGCCTGTATCGTAAGCCTCCAAGAAAGGGAAGGAATGATTTTCTGAAGGGAAGCTCACTACTTCATAGCCAGTTCAGTGGGATGATACAGAGAAGTAGAGAAGACCTGGACACCTGAGTCCGATCCAAATTTCTTCTCAGAAACTAATTTCATCCCGGTTCTCAGTGCTTGTTCCCCTTCCTCGCTGCTGGGAAGTGAAGCGGACCTCTTGGATTAACAGCCTTTGGGAGGGGTGGTTATTTTTATTTTCTTTTTTTTTTTTTTTAAAGATTTTATCTATTTATTTGACAGACAGAGACCACAAGTAGGCAGAGAGGCAGGCAGAGATAGAAAGGGGGAAGCAGGCTCCCTGCTGAGCGGAGAACCCGATGCGGGGCTTGATCCGAGGACCCTGAGATCATGACCTGAGCTGAAGACAGAGGCTTAACCCACTGAGCCACCCAGCCGCCCCTATTTTTCTTTTCTTAATGTTAACTCTTTTTCTCCACTGAACTTCCTTTATTCAGTTATAATTTACGAACAATAACATAGACAAATCTTAAAGGCACAGACTGATCACATTTTATATATACACGTATATGTATGTTATATGTGTAAACATGTGTGTAAATGTGTGTGTGTGTGTACCTCCACATCCACATGACAACCTCCTGGATCAATCTCAAGAATTCCACTTTTTCCACAAAATAATACATACCCTAAGTGTAAATTAGTTACTTTTTGAAAATTTTTAAACCATAGATCAGTTATATAAATATGTACACTTTTATGTCCAACTCCTTTTGTCCAACATAATACCCATGGGAGGCCTCCACGCTGTTGTGGTAGTATCTCTTCCTTCTCGTGGCTTCTTTTCATTGTGCACACACAGCTTGGTTAGCCATTCTCCTATTGGTGGACACTTGCCCTGTTTCCAAGCTTAAGCTGATATGAATGAGGCTGCTAAGAACATTCCCAAGGGAGTCTTTTGGAGATGCACACACTCATTTCTCTTGGATACATTCTCCAGTGTGGGACTGCTGGGTCATGAGGTGTGTTCATGACTCATTCTGTCGGACCTTTGCAGTTTTTTCAAACACCTTTTAAGACTTCTCTCGTTCTCTCTCCCAATCTTTCCACCCTGCTACCACCTAAAGTATCTCCTTCCTGCTTCTGTGATCAAGCCTGTTTCCTGACTTGCCTACTTCTCTCCACAGGACAGAAAGAGGGAGCCACCCCTCCTGCAGGCTTGCAAGATAACGGAGGCCCTACGGACTGCCAGGTCTTCACACTCACCCCTCCACCCCCCAGGAGGAATCCGGTGACAAGGATCCAGCCCGTCACAAGGACACCAAAGTGTCCCTTTCATTTTTTTCCATGGCAAGGACCTAAAGTCCCCATTAGGTTTCCACACAGACCTTTCCTTCCTTGGAGGTGCAACCACCGGTTTCCGTTTCGTCCATTTTTTTGGCCACACGGTCGCCTTACTCCTCATTATAGGTATTTTCCCAGGGGAAGGCTCTGGAGAGGAAGCTCATCTGAGGAAAGCAAATGGAAAAGAGAAGTCCCAAATACGCGGAAGCAAAAGAAGCCACTGGCACAGAGAAGACTCTAAACTGATTTCTACTTTCTTCTTCCAAACGAAACCAATTGGACTTGAAATATCTTAAACACCACAGACTAGAAATTGTTCTTCTTGTCAGCAGGGAAGATACTGGTTTATAGGTTATTGAGGTTTGCTAATGGGAGCAGTAACTGCATTACTTTACTTTATCCCCGACTGCTAAGATCACAGGATATTGATGCAAATAAAATCCTACAACAGGTGGTTCCGGGAATTCCTATACATACTGAGGTGACAGAAGAATCAGCTCTCTTCTCAATCAAAGCGAAAAACATTTAAATAAACTGATATAAACCAATGAAAACATTAATGACACCTTTTCTACTCACTGGAAAATTTACAGAGCATGGTGTATTTACAAAGTGAACTTTAAAGCAAATTGCAGAAAACTGAACATTTTATTTTTTTCTCTGTTTGGCAGTGGTGTAGATGGGGGCTATTCATTTATTTTTTTATTGAGGTGTAATTGACATAACATTCATATTAGTTTTAGACATGCAATGCGATGATTCCATATTTGTATATATTGCAAAATAATCACCACCGTAAGTCCTGTTAGCAACCATTACCATACACAGTAACAATTTTTTTTCTTGTAAGAACTTTCAAGATCCACTCAGTTTCCTATCAACAACAACAACAAAAGAATTATAAAAATTAAAACAAAATAAATTACAGGGAGTCTAAGATAATACCTTGAAGGTATCATAAACTAAACTACCTAACTTAAAAAACCATTTTTAGCTGTAATAGCTAATGCTGACTGTTTAAGCAACCCTCTCCTCTCTCACTGTTTCTCACATTACCTTGTCCGGATACTAGCTTAAATTGTATATTTCCCCTAAAATTTTCGACATGGGTCTAGGCTCAATCGTCTGATTAAAAGTTTACGTGGATGTTCTGGTGACTCTAGAGCTCCACGGACGTTAAGTTCACTCAACTCTAGGAACCTGAGAGTGCCAGAGAAGTAAGTCCCGCTGACTGCCTTCACTGGGTATCGCTCCAGCCATTCCATAAAACACTGCCTCCTGATTGTGCCACTCACCTTGCCTGGAACATGGAAACTTGGCTTTTGCATGTGAGGTCAGTGGTTTACACCTGTTCCTCCCAAGAACTATGTGCAAAAGTTGCTGCTGCTGCTACTGTTTCGACAGAGGGAAAAAGGAACATAAAGACCTGAGGATGCTGGGAGTGTTGCCTGGGAAATGGAGAGACCGAGAAAACCACCACGCTGTTCTGCCATATGAAAAGATAAAAAGGAAAAAAAATAATTTCCTTCATTTACTTCATAGCTAATTTTCTTATAACAGATATTTGCTTCAAAATTACGGGCTTAAATAAAACCTATATTTGAAATCTTCGCTAAGAAACTCTGTGTTTTGTAATATATTAGCTCTCTCTTTTGCTTTCTTTCTGACTAGAGGGGCATAACCAGAAAAGGGCCAACACAGGGACACCTGGGTAGCTCAGTCGGTTAAGCATCTAACTCGATTTGGCTCAGGTCATGCTTTCAGGGTTGTGGGATCGAGCCCCAGGTCAGGCTCCACACTCGGCATGGAGTCTGCCTAAGATTCTTTCCCTCACCCTCTGCCCCTCCTCCCACTCGTGTGCACGTGTGCTCGCTCTCACTCTCTCAAATAAATAAAATCTTTAAAAAAGAAAGAAAGGGAGAGAGAGAGGGAGGGAGGGAGGGAGGAAGGGAGGAAGGAAGAAAGGAAGAAAGGAAAGAAGGAAAAAAGAAAGAAAAGGGCCAACCTTGGGCAAACTTGAAGACAGGAAAAGGTTTGTGTTGGACTCTCACCTCCCTTTCTGGACCCCCTTTATTCCAGCATGTGCTCACAGGGCCACAAGTTGCCCAAATGAACTTGCTCAGACTGGGCTTTCTCTCCCCAAACATGAGAATTTTGCAATCCCAAACTCAACTGTTCTGAAACCTAGTCCATGAAGACCTGACTGGTTTGATAGATAAACCTCAGGAAACTGAGACAAACTCACCAGTTTCGGGGTTTCTCTCACTGCATCTGTTAGAGAGGGCAGCCTGTGCCTATAGTGTTTCACAGCAAGGACTGTTTTCAGAATAAGCCTGGGCATGGCTGCATCATTCCTCATCCTCGTCGACCATGCGTCCGGTTGCCTATATGAGAAGTAGCCTACATCTGTAATTGAAAACACATGCTTTCATGAATAAAAAAAAAACTGCATCATTTTGCCTAATAAATTGTTCTTTCAAAATACAGTGATGGGGCACCTGAGTGGCTCAGTGGGTTAAGCCTCTGCCTTCAGCTCAGATCATGATCCCAGAGTCATGGGACTGGGCCCCACATCGGGCTCCCCGCTCAGCGGGGAGTCTGCTTCTCTCACTCCTCTGACCCTCCCCCTGCTCTTGCTCTCTCACTCTTTCTCTCTCCCAAATAAATAAATAAAATATTTTTTTAAAAAAATACAGTAATGCTGGGCTGTGGGCTCTGCCCTCCATGCAGAGTCCGTTTAGGATTTTCTCTTCTCCCTCTGCCCCTCCCCCTACTCTCCCAATCCTTCCCCCTTCCAGTAAATAAACAAATCTTTAAAAAAAAAAAATTACAGGGAAGCCTAGCAGGTGTGTTGACTCAGGAGGAGAACAGTCTTCATCACCAATACTTCAAAGTGAATTTATTTATCAAATATGTTCCTCTTAGGGGCACCTGGGGTGGCTCAGTTGGTTAAGCCTCTGCCTTCAGCTCAGGTTATGATCTCAGGGTCCTGGGATCAAGTCCCACGTTGGGCTCCCTACTCAGCGGGAGCCTGCTTCTCCCTCTCCCTCTGCTGCTCCCCCTGCTTAGGCATGCTTGCACTCTCTCTCTCTCTCTCTCTCTCTGTCAAATAAATAAAAGAACTTTGAAAAATATATGTTCCTCTTAGTATACAGGTGATACTTGTGGCTTTTGAAGCAATGGCAGGGTGTGATAATTCTTGCCTGCATCTTTGCTTTGTGGTGTGAACAGCCTGTGCAAGTCTAAAGTTCCAGTCATGCTAAAGAGGCATGACCTGAACCTAATCATCAGACAAGCCCAGACTGAGGAACTTTGACAGAACACCTGCTGCATACTCTTTAAAAGTGTAAATGTCATGGTAGACAAAGTCTAAAGGAGATTAAAGAGACATGAGGGGCACCTGGCTGGCTCAACTGGAAGACGTGTAACTCTGGATCTCATGATAGTGAGTTCAAGCCCCATGCTGGGTGTAGACGTTACTTACTTACTTGCCTACATACATACATACATACATAAAACTAAAGAGACAAGATAACTAAATGTAACATGTAGTCCTAGAAGTGGGAAAGAGAGGAGAGATTTCCAGAAAAGATATTATTGGGACAGCTGGCAAAATTTTAATATGACCATGTGTCAGGTCTTAATGTCTTAATGTCAGTGTTAAATTTTCTGAATTTGATTATTATGTAAGAGAACATTTTTTTTTTAAAGATTTTATTTATTTATTTGACAGACAGAGATCACAAGTAGGCAGAGAGAGAGGAGGAAGCAGGCTCCCTGCTGAGCAGAGAGCCCGATGCGGGGCTCGATCCCAGGACCCTGAGATCATGACCTGAGCTGAAGGCAGAGGCTTTAACCCACTGAGCCACCCAGGCGCCCCTGTAAGAGAACATTCTTACATAAAAATATGAAGTATGAAAATATAAAGTATTTGAAGTATTTGACCATGATTTCTGCAACTAAATCTCAAATTATTCAGGAGGCAGCCAAACCAGGAGAGGAAGGACACGCAGGCTGCATGGGGTTTGCTACTAAATGATTGGTTTGTGGTGCATTAAAACACCAGGGATTGCTAAGCTCCTGATTAAAAATGAAAAATTCAGAAAGAGTGGAATTATTTTATAAGTGTTACCTTATGGCATCTGGAAACTTACTTTAGGAGGTGTGTAAGTTTGCTGGCACTTCTATCACCAGATGCCACATACTGGGCAGCTTAAACAATCCGAATTTACTTTCTCACAGTTCTGGAGGCTGAAAGTCAAGAATCAAGATGTCAAGAAGATAGTTTTCCTCTGAGGCCTCTCTCCTCCACTTGCAGATGGATGCCTTCTTCCTGTCTCTTTACATGGTCTTTCCTCTGGGCATGCGTGCCCAGTGTCTTTCTTGCATATGCAAATTTTTTCTTCTCTATTTTTTTAAGATTTTATTTTTTTTATTTGTCAGAGAGAGAGAAAGAACGTAAGCAGGGGGAGCGGCAGAGGTAAAGGGAGAAGCAGACTCCCCACTGAGCAGGGAGCCTGATGTGGGACTGGATCCCAGGACCGTGGGATCATGACCTGAGCTGAAGGCAGAGCTTAACTGACTGGGCCACCCAGGTGCCCCCAAATTTTCCCTTCTTAATAAGGATACCAATCAGATTGGCTTAGGGACCACTCTAAAATCCTCATCTTAACTTAAATCACCTCTCTAAAGGTCCTATCTCCAAATATAGTCACATTCTGAGGTCCTGGGGGTTAGCACTTCCACATATGAATGTTGGGGGATAAATTTGGCCCCTAACAGGAGGTATCCAATTTTGATAACAGTTAGCAACTAAACTCCCAGAAATGATCTAGAGAAAGCTGGCTTTGATTCTAAAGAAAAGAGTATTACAATGCTCAGGTACTTTCATACATAAAGAAATAAAGAGAGAATCAGCACTTTCCTGTTTTAAGCACAGAGCATACTTGACTTGTTTTTATAATAAAATGTAAGTAACTATCACGTTCCCAGTAGAACCTCCAGGCTTGTTCTAAAGAGACACAAAGAAAACAAGGATGGAAGATCCAAGAAAGAGTAGACACAACTGAAACAATGTGCTTGGACCATTGGTTCCATATACCGCAGCAACTCCTAGGATCAGTGCCAAGTAAAACCGCTGAGTCATCATGAAACAGCTCTAAACTGGAGACACCAAGTCCATCCACAGTAGAACCGGTGAACGAATCGTTACTGTATCATATACCCAAATACCGCACAGCA